AAAAAAAAAAAAAAAAAAAAAAAAATCAAAAGCTAGTCCAGGCCAGTATGTACAAGTTTAAAATTGCAGTGACTCAGGAGGCTGAGGCAGGAGGATTTCTAATTTGACCCCACCCTGGACTACATAGGGAGTTCAAAGCCAGCCTGGACTACAGGGGGAGACCCTGACTCAAAAAGACAAAAATAAATTAGAAGAGGACTGGGAATGTAGCTCAGTCCCTGAGCATGCACAAAGCCCAGGGTTTAGTCCCAGCACTGCAGAAAAAGCAGAGATGCTATGATCTTTGTGCTTCCCTCAAGAACAGTTCAAGAAGCCGGGTAAGGTGGCTTAGGCCTCTGATCCCAGCACTCACAAGACTGAGGCAGGAGGATTGCCACAACTCTCAAGTTGAAAGCCCTCCTGGATCGCGTAGTGAGATACTGTCTCAAAAAAGAAAAGAAAAGGAATTCAAGGAACCAAAGTTGACTCGAGCCATGTCTGTTGCTCACGTTGATACAGCTGTAGGGTGACCAGAGTGCTGCTGCATCTGTGATTAACATTACTGTCAGAAGTACAGCTGTGATTTGGAAGAAGCCTGGCACACACCAGAGGCTGGTGGGTGGCAGAAGGGACCGGATGTGTGAGCAGCCTGACACCTTCCTCCCACCCTTTTTTTACGGCCCAAACAACTCGCTGAAGCATCTCCGAGAACAGCCTTAGCAAGATGAATCTTTGATCAGCTCACTGGTCAGATGGGTGACCTCTGATCCTCCCAGGTTCCTTTCCCTGTGGGTTCCGCCCCGCAGGCTGCTGCTGGGGCTGCCTGCTTGGAGAGCAATGGGGACGGAAGGTGTAGGCAGGGCCAACAAGACTTGGTTGAGTCTCATTTTCCAGGTCAGTGAGAAGAGGGGTTGGTAGTGGGTTTGGTGCTACCGTTGGAAGATTTGCAGAGGCAGACATTCCCATGTGAAGCACATTGCCGTGTGTCAGTTTTTGTGAATATGTGTATTTTAAGCAATAAGACTCAACTGGTCACTTTTCTGAACAGTCTTGGTTACGCATTTACTGTGCTGTGATTATTCTAAAGACAGAGTGGCTCTAACTGCCGTGAGAACCTCAGATAAAAATCAACCCCCCTTCAAAAAACAAAAAAAAAAGATTTACAGCTGTGTCTTTAGACTGCAGTTCGTGTTGGCAGGCAGGAGGTATGCACGAGATATTATTAAAAAGAGAAGGAAACACTAAAGGGAGACTGAAGAGAAAAAGGCAGCAGTTCACATCAGGACTGTATACTGCGTTCTTCAGCCTGAGAAACAGGAAAGGGCCTCAACCCTGACTGTGTCACAGGTTCACTCCCGAGGAGAGCCTCCCCGGCCCTGCCTGCCACGCGCAAGGCCCCCTGCCTCTTCCAGGGACAAGACTCCCACTGAGGCATGTGCTGGCCTTTTTAAAATCGTTCTTATTTGTTGTGCATCTGTTCCCAGTATGGGGGATTGAACACAGGGCCTTCCCCCAGCCAGGACCATCCTCAGCCAGCACCCTGTCCCATTCTGAGATAAGACCTCACTACACTCCCTGTGCAGTACTCAAACTTGTGATCTTCCTGCCTCAGCCTCCCATGGTGCTGGGATCACGGGTGTGTACTGCCACACCAGGCTTTTATTTATTTTTGGTAGCACTAAGGATTGAACCCAGGGAGCCCTGTGCTGTGTACATCCCAGCCCTTTTTATTTTTAAGTGTTGAGACAAGGTCTCACTGACTTGCCTAGGCTGGCCTTGAATTTGGGATCTGTCTGGCTTAGTCTCCTGAGTAGCTGGGGTCACAGGTGTGTGCCTCCACGCCCAGCTCAGTTCTGACTCAGCAGTCTGTGCACAGAGACCAGATGGGGACAGCAAGTTATGTGCTTTTTGGCTTCTTCTAAAGGCCCGGAGGGAAGCATGTTACTGTCCCCTCAAGTCCCAGTGCTTCCTGCTAGCCATGCCTTGCTCTGTTCGAGTCAGCCTCTTGGCCTTTGACATTTTCACGAGCCCTAGCAGACACAAGGTTATGTACAGCCGCATTTGGGGTCCCGGGCATCACCAGCCTTTCAGAACTAAACTGCTGGCAGCAGTGTCCCAGGTGAACAGTGTGAAAATGACAGAAGATAGCAGCAAGTCTCAGATGAGGAGCAGGAGGGCTAAATTGGGAGGCCTGGGAGCAGCAGCAGAAGACCAACCCAGTTCACAGCAGGCAGTGCTGCTGTGGGATGATTTTGAGACAAGATGGCCTTTGGGGCAAAATCGATTGGTCCAGAAGCTGTGAGTCCCGCAAAGAAGCATCTTCAGACGTCAGCTGAAAGGTGCTTTCTGACCTTGTGGTGTGGCAGCAACTAAGTTCCAGCTTCATGGCGATGTTTTCCACACTCTCAGGCATCTTGACAGCACCAGTGTTAACATGCTACCTTTGTTGAGCGTACACTGGTAGCTGTGCATATTTGGTATGTTTTAGTTCAGAGTTGGTAGTGGCCCATGGAAAAGTCCGAGGAGCAAGAGGAAGGAGCATGTCTCATCCCGCTGCCGTGGCCATCGTGACCAGGCCTCTGTCTGTGTTGTAGACCTGAAGGCTGAAATTGACAAGCTAGCCACCGAGTACATGAGCAGCGCCCGCAGCCTGAGCTCTGAGGAAAAGCTGGCCCTTCTCAGGCAGATCCAGGAGGCCTACGGCAAGTGCAAGGAGTTTGGTGATGACAAGGTGCAGCTGGCCATGCAGACCTATGAGATGGTACGGCCTGCCACGGCACCCCGCTCCCACCTCTCCTGGGGCCTCCGCCCCTTTCAGCTGCGTTGGGATGAGTTGGTATAGGAGACAATAAACTCTGCCTCTGCCTGCTGTGCGGCCTGGGAACCGTTCTTCACCTCTGCCTTCTCCTCCCCCCAGGTGGACAAGCACATTCGGCGGCTGGACACAGACCTGGCCCGTTTTGAGGCAGATCTGAAGGAGAAGCAGATCGAGTCAAGTGACTATGACAGCTCTTCTAGCAAAGGCAAAAAGAGTGAGGAGGGGGGTGGGCCCTGGCCCACGTGAGGGGACTCTGCTGGACAGAAGCAGGAGCCCTAACCCTGCCTCCTGTCTCCCGCCTCCTGGCGCCCCCCTCTTCCCCAGAAGGCCGGACTCAGAAGGAGAAGAAGGCTGCTCGGGCTCGCTCCAAAGGGAAAAATTCGGACGAGGAGGCTCCCAAGGCTGCGCAGAAGAAGTTAAAGCTCGTGCGCACGTGAGTGCATCCCCAGGGTCCCCCTCCGCCTCCTCCCTTTGGTGTCTGTGGAGAGGAAGCCATAGCTGCTCCCCACCAGCTTTCCCTTCTGGAGAACCTCCCTCCCTCCTACCCGCCACACTCAGTGCACTCTCACTGCAGGAGTCCGGAGTACGGGATGCCCTCCGTGACCTTTGGCAGCGTCCACCCCTCAGATGTGCTGGACATGCCTGTGGACCCCAATGAGCCCACCTACTGCCTGTGCCACCAGGTGTCCTATGGCGAGATGATCGGCTGCGACAACCCCGATGTGAGAACCCTTTTGCATCCAGCAGAGGGAGTGGGGGTAAAGTGGAGTGGCCTCGGTTGAACAGCGGAACATAAAAGGGTTGAAAGCAAGATTTAAGGGCATGTGCCTCTCTGTACTATACACAGGGAACCTGAGGCAGGAAGATTACTTGTGCCCATGTGACCTTGAGTTTTGTGCCAGCTGGGCACCATAGCGAGATCCCATTGGAAAAAGAAGAAGAGCCGGGCGTGGTGGTGCATGCCTGTAATCCCAGCACTCGGGAGGCTGAGGCAGGAGGATCGCTGTGAGTTCGAGACCAGCCTGGGCTACACAGTGAGTTCCAGGTCAGTCTCAACTACGTAGTGAGACCTTGTCTCAACCAAAAATAAATAAATAAAAGGAAAAAGCAAGAGGGACAGTGGTTGGAGTGGTGGCCTTGGGTCCTCCAATTATCCTGGGGGAGCAAAAGGGCTGCAGGGGCTGTGCCAGCTGCCCCTGCTCCGTGTCTGCCAGGCCCCTGACCGCTCATCCATCTCCTTCCTTTTCCAGTGTTCCATTGAGTGGTTCCACTTCGCCTGCGTGGGGCTGACAACCAAGCCCCGGGGGAAATGGTGAGCAGCAGTTTGGTGGGAGCCATGTGACAGAGGGCGCCGTCCCCTCAGCTCACTGTCTGTCCCTTCATCTTGTTTCCCAGGTTCTGTCCTCGCTGCTCCCAAGAGCGGAAGAAGAAGTAGAGGAGGGCCTTGAGTTCCCAGTTCTTCCGCATTCCCAGACCTGGGCTGGTGGCCGACGAGTGTGTGGGGCCGGGGGCCAGGGAGAAGCGGGTGGTGCGGTGCTGTCACCCCCTCCGGCCTGTTCGGTCTCCATCCCAGTGCCGCGGAAGGGAGGGTGTCCGCCACCAACGGTATGTGCCCTGCTTCCGGCCGGCCCTCGGCGCAGTCTCGCCCGCTGTCCTTGTGCCTCTGCTGAGGTTGGTGCTGTATCTCAGAGGGCGGGTCCCCTCGCTCCCCGCCCTGAGCCTCCTCCTCGTGGGTACCAGCTGTGACCACCCGCCTTCTCCTCACTTCTGTTTCCCTAGGGTGGGGGACCCCACATCATGGGGCTCTGGCCCTCGCTGAAGGGCCCCAAAGGGACTCATCCTGGCTGGGAATGGGAGGAGGGGCGAGGCGGAACGCAGGTGACTCCATGTAAAGGAGTTTGGTAGGTGAATAAAAGCTCTCAGTGGAGTCGGCCTGCTGTGTTTCCTGTAGAGTTATGGAGCCTGCTCGGCTCTCTGCTTCCCGGGCCCCCACTAGGCTCTGTTTCCAGTAAATGCCAAGACTGTCCTACGTGCACCACACCCTAGATACTGCTCCACTCCCTGTTTGAAGCATGAACGAAATACAATGTTTTCCCATATCTCCATGGGTTGCCCTGCTTGCCTTCCCCTAAGAATCCCTTCAGGGACACCAAGCACCCCCTCCTGTCCCTCCGCCCTCCGCGGTGCTTGTTTCAGGGGACAGCCAGCCTAGCTGACCCCAGGGACGTTGACAGGTTTGTTGCTAGGAAATGCTCTGGGTTTAGGGGACCTGGGTAAACGTGATTGGGCAGAAGTGGACAGAGGGTAATCAGTTGAGCCAGTTTCTGCTTTTCTAAGTTTCTATTTTTCTGGATGGTCAAAGTTGAGTTAAGTTATGCTTTCCTCTCAGAAATAATGTGGCCTGTATACCTGGAAAGGGGTGCTGCATTCTCTCCTCAGTTTCCCTTTTGGCCCCTTTCTCAGCTGAGTTATTTCTAGCTCCTGCCCAAAAGGGCTATGCCCGTTTTTGTTTGTTTTTGAGATAGAGTCTTGCTATGTAGTTCAGATTGGCATCAAACTCAGATCCTCCTGCCTCAGCTTCCTGAATGCTGGGATTACAGGCGTGTGCCCAGTCTCTGCCTCTATTTTGTGCCTTGCACCTCCTGCTGCCCTAGAACCCAGAACAGGGCCTGTGCTCCCTGCGGGGCTCCATCGCCTGGGCCAGGTTCCTGGGGGCGTGGCCTCGGGTGCCCTGGGCGGGGCCTTTCATCCCCTCTGTGACGTGGGCGGGGCCTTAAGGTCGCTGGCTCGCTCCCTCGGCCGGTTAGAGGCTCAGATCTCCGGGGACATGGGACAGCCAGCGGCTGGCTCCTTTATGTCACTGCTGAGGGGTAAGAGGCTCCCTTCGCCCCTCGAGTGGCGGGCCCCCCAGTCCTTGAAAGCCCTCGAAGTGATTTCCGTGTGCGGGTGCTGGCGATGACTTCTGCCCGCTCCCAGTCGCCAGCGGCCCGCAGCCCCCTCTGCGGCAGGCAGGGTCGTCCCTCCCTCAACTGCTAGCCTCCCACCGCCCATCCCCTCCGCAGTGCTGCTCCTGCCTCTGGGAGCTGTTCTCACGCAGGAGTCGCCCTCGGCCCCGACTCCGGGCAGCCCCCTCTCCCCCACCGAGTACGAGCGCTTCTTCGCCCTGCTGACCCCCTCCTGGAAGGCAGAGACCACCTGCCGGCTCCGCGCCACGCATGGCTGCAGGAACCCCACTATCATCCAACTGGACCAGTATGAGAACCACGGCCTGGTCCCCGACGGTGAGGCCTGGTGGGTGGGCGCGGCTGCAGGGGGGCCCCATAGCCAGGCAGAGGGCGCCAAGCTCACCCCGCCTCTCCCCAGGCGCCATCTGCTCTGACCTCCCCTACGCCTCCTGGTTCGAGTCCTTCTGCCAGTTCACTCAGTATCGCTGCTCCAACCACGTCTACTACGCCAAGGTGGGCCGCACTCGGGACACGCCCACCTCTGCCTCCCGAGTGGTCAGACTGCATGCAGCCCGGCCCGGCAGGGAGGAGTAGCCCGTTGGTTTCTTCTAACAGTCCAGGGATCTTGCTCCCGGCCGATGCTGACTGGAAAAGCCCCGGTGGGGCCGGAGAAACAGTCTCCTGGGGGTGGGGGACGCTGTGGGGGTGGCCCCTGTGCCTGCCTCGCTGCCCGAGAGTGTGGGGAGGCCGGGTGCTGGCCAGGGGCTGCGAAGTCACTGTGCTGGAGCCGCCTCCCTTCATGGAAGCCATCCCGCTCTCCCTGCAGAGGGTCAGGTGCTCCCAGCCCGTCTCCATCCTGTCCGTGAACAACTTCAAGGAGCTGAATTCTGTGGCCGGGGTCCACCACACCTCGGTGACCTCCCCTGCCACACCCCGCGCCGAAGGTAAGCCCTGCCAGGATGCAGGTTGGGCTCTCCTCTCCCTTTTGTGTTCATTTTTTGAACCTGTCTTTCTAGGTCAACAAATTCTGGGCTTGAAATCTATGTTCTCCTTCCTCAGCCTCCCTGAGCGCTGAGATTATAGGCATGCATCACCATGCCCAGCTTGTAATAGCTCCGTGTTTTGAAGTATTGGGGCCCCCAGAGCGGTGGAGCTGAATGGAGCCTGTGTTTGGCCCCACAGGCCTTGTGTTCGACTCCCAGCCCCCCACCCAAGCTAGCTGCTCAGAATACTTGAGGGGTCCCTAAGGCAGGGGGCAGAAGGTGGCTTTGGGTGTGAGTTAAGGAAGAGGAGCTCTTACAAGGAGGGTGGGAAGGGACTTGCTGCTGCATTTGCCTTGGTAATGGTCTTTTGTTTTGCTATCATGTGTTTCTTTTCCTTTTTTTGGTACCGGGGATCAAACTTGGGATCTTGTGCTTGTGAGGCAGGCTGCAGAACCACTGAAGCTAAGTCCCCAAGCCCTCCTTTTTGCTTTTTAATACACTTGTTCTCTCCTCTTTCTCCCTCCTGCTCCCCTGTAGCCACAGAGCGACAGGCGTACCAGCCCTGGCCAGAGCGGCTGAGCAGCAATGTGGAGGAGCTGCTGCAGTCCTCCTTGTTGCTGGGAGGTCAGGAGCAAACGGCCAGCCACAAACAGGAGGAAGGGCAGGAGCAGCACAAGCCGGAATCAGCACAGGAGCACAAGCAGGAGGAAGGGCAGGAGCAGGAAGAGGAGGAGGAGCAAGAGGAGGAGGGGAAGCAGGAAGAGAGCCAGGGCATGGAGGAAGCCCTGGGCGTGGTGGCTAGCCTGCAGATGGGCTCTGATCCCAAGCCTCAGTCGGAGTCTCTGTCTGCTGATCCTCGCTCCTCCTCAGCCCGGGTCCGAGAGGTGGACTTGGCTCCTCTGATGATGGAGAACATCCAGGAGCTCATCCTCTCGGCCCAGGAGATGGAGGAGATGTATGATGAGGATGCCTACTGGAGGAGCCAGAACCATGGCAGGTACAGGAAGGTGGGACTCCCTGAGCCCTGCCACCCCCAGTGCCTTCTTTGGGAGTGAGAAGCCCACATTCCCACTCAGACCTGCTCGGGCTGCCAGCCTCTCCTCCCCTGTACCCGCTTGGCAGAAGTCCTGTGCAGAAGGAAGCCTGGGTGCCCGTCCTCTACATGATGTGGTGCAGTGAGGCTGGAACCTGGTGCCATCAGGCTCAGGCTCAGGCTCAGGCCTTGACATGGCAGCCTCTGACAGGAGATTTCTGCTCTCAGGATCTCAGTTCCTCATTTGAGTTTGTTTGCTTGTTTGTTGAGATGGTCTCACTATGCAGTTCAGGCTGACCTTGAACTCACTGTGTAGTGCAGGTGATCCTCCTGCCTCAGCCTCCACAGTGCTGGGATTATAGGTGTGCACCGCCATGCCCAACTCTTCATTTCCTCATCTGCAAGAGGCAGTTAGTCCAAGGCTTCTTGGGCCCAAGATAAGCATCCTGAGTGTGTGACGAGGAGCAGCCACCCAGGGCACAGGGAGAGTGGATGTGGCTTCCCACCTCAGCTCCAGCCTGTCCCCACCGGTACTGTCTGCCTGTAGTCTCCTGCAGCTGCCACACAAGGAGGCTGTGCTGGTGCTGTGCTACGCCATCATAATGAACAGCTGCGTCTTGACCCCCACAGCCAAGGCCTGGAGGCACCTGGAGGAGGAGACCTTGGGCTTCGGGAAGTTGGTAAGCCCACCCGCCTTTCAGTGAGTACATGAGGCTCAGGCAGAGAAGCTCTGTCCATGCGGGGCTCCCTTCTGTGCAAGGACCTCTCCCCACACTAGAGGAAGAAGGCTCCACATCGAATTTGGCATCCAGTCCAATCTGGAGCTTCCCCTCAGCCCATTTGCAGCCCCTAGCTGTGTCTGAGGTACAGCTCTCCCCCATGCAGTGCACAGAGTCCATGCTGGGCGCTCTGTGGTGACCCCAGATGGCATCTTCGGCCCCAAGCAAAGTCCATTGTGGCTTTGAGGTGGGTCTCACTGTGTTGCTAAGGCTGCTGTCTCTGGAACTCCTGGGATCAAGTGACCTTCCTACGCCAGCCTGCTGCGTAGCTGAGTAGCTACAGGTGCACCCCCACACTGGGCTTCTGGGTTTTAAATAATACATTTTAGCATATGTTTGTTGAAAGCTGGTATGCCGACCCACATCCATTTTTCCACAAATCCTTGGGGCACCAGCTCCCTCTTTGGTACTTGAGATGCTACCAGCATATGTGGTAAACTCAGCTCTGCCGGGACTTGGTCAGTGGGGAAGAGGATGCAGGCAGAGCAGAGTGAAATGTGTGCTCAGAGGCGTATAGGAGGTGCAGAGGACAGCATGGAGGATCACAGAAGGCTTCACACAGAGCAGCAGAAACTGAAGAGAGCAGAGTTAACAGGCAGACGAAGGGCCTGGAGGGAGATTTCTGGTAGTCCAAAGGCCCTGATAAAAGAGAGCCGAAATTTCATGGAGCGATGCTCTTGCCTCAGCCTCCTGAGTGCTTGGATTACAGGCATATGCCACCACATCCAGTGGATTTGGGTTTTTAACTAGGTGCTTAGCAGAACATAAGCTTTATATTTTGAAGAACCTGGGTCTATGTCCCAAGTTCACATATTTTTTCCCCCAATACTGAGGATTGAACCCAGGGCCTCACTTATGTGAAACAAGCACTCTACCACTAAGCTACTTTCTCAGCCCTTAAAAAAAATTTCCTTTTTTCTTTTTTCTAGTACTGGGGGTTGAACTCAGGACCTTGTGCTTGCCAGGCAGGTGCTGGCACCACTGAGCTAAATCCCCAGCCCTTAAAATTTTTATCTTGAGACAAGTCTTGCAAAGTTGCCCAAGCTGGCCTCAGACTCTGTTTTATCCTGCCCAGCCCCATTTACACCTATTAGGTGTGTTGCTTTGAACAATGTGCTCAACCTCACCATACCTCAGTTTCCTCATCAGTGTTGACTTGGGCTATTAGTGATACTTCTGCCATGAGAGGGTTCTTGAGAACACCAGATGAGATGAGAGTGGATGGCCATCATGGTGGAAGTTCTCCACCTCCATTAATATTAGCATTAGGGCTGTTAGAGGTGACCACAGAGCACCCGCTGGTAGCTGTCTGTCAGGCCTTTGGTGATGAGGTGACAGAGATTTGGGTGTCACCTTCAGAGAGATGAAGTAAACAATTACTGATGAGTAAACAACCAGGAAGAGGGTGGAGATGGAGCTGAGGCCATGTTCTTGGGGAGCCTTCGAAGAGGGGAGGCAAGAGGTGGCCAGGTCTGAGGAAAGCCCCAGAAGAGCCTTAGTGCAGTGACACCCAGGGCTCCAGAAGGCTGAGACACAGGCAGGGACAGGCCTGAGTCCCAGCCTCAGCCTCACCCATACTCTTGCCCCAGGTCTGTGACAACCTTGGACGGCGACACATGGCTCTCTGTCCCCTGTGTGCCTTCTGCTCTCTGAAGCTGGAGCAGTGCCACTCGGAGGCCAACCTGCAGCGGCAGCAGTGTGATGCATCCCATAAGACACCCTTCATCAGCTCCTTGCTCACAGCCCAGACCATGACCATGGGTACCCAGGTACCCCTGGGGTGGCCCCAAACAGGGAAAGGGTGGGAGGACTTCAGGGGGCAGGGTATGCATGTCTTCCCATCTCCCTCCCCATGCCACAGGCAGAGTCCTCAGAGTCAGGCCAATTTTATGGGCTAGATCTGTATGGCGGGCTCCGTATGGATTTCTGGTGTGCCCAGCTGGCCACAAAGGGCTGTGAAGACATTCGGGTCTCTAGCTGGCTCCAGACTGAGTTCCTCAGCTTCCATAATGGGGATTTCCCCACCAAGGTGAGACCCTCTCCCAACCTTGGCATCCCGGGCTTGTTGTATGGGCTTGAGGGTGTTAAAGGGGACTTGGCTCCCCACAGAGCCTCCTCCCTCTTACTGTCAGGTGCTGCACACCGCTTTACCCATGCAGCAGGCTGGGATTTGGCAAAGCACCAGGACCAGGAGAGAAAGCTTGGGTTTGGGTGGTGGGAGACAAACTGGTCTATCCCAATTCTGACTGGTTTCAGTCCAGTTACTTCCCTCTCTATGCCAGTTACACTTTTCTCTGCAATCAGATGAGTAATCCCAGCTATGTGGGAGGCTGAGGCAATCCCAATACAAGTTCATGTCTAAACCTGGGCAATGTAAGTGAGACCTTGTATCAAAATAAAATGTAGGGCTGGGGATTTAGCTCAGTGGATCTGCCACCTGCCTCACAAATGTAAGGACTTGAGTTCGATCCCATGTACCAAAAAAAAAAAAAAAAAAAAAAAAATGTAAAAGCCAGGCTTACTGGTGTATGCCTGTAATCCTAGCACTGAGGAGGCTGAGGTAGTAGGATCACCATGGACAGCCTGGGCTACATAGTGAAACCCTTTCTCAAAACAAAAAATGGGCTGGGAATTTAACTCAGTGGCACTGTGCCTGCCTTGCAAGCACAAGGTCCTGAGTTCAATCCCCAGTACCAAAAAAACAATATAAAACAAGCAGATTTCTGGGAAGATGGCAGAGTGGTAAATGGAAGAGAAAAAGCCACTCTGAAATTTGGTGTCCAGATATTGGAATGTAGCAACATGAGGAAGAAAAGGAGGGAACTGGGTCCCCAGGACCCAGAAAGGATCTGACGTAAGAATTGATGTCCAAGGGGAGAACAAAAGAGTGACTTAAATGCAGAAGAAAGAGGTGGCACTAAGGCATTTTCTCCCTGAGCCCTAATTCACTGCATAGGAAGGGTGGCTCAAACCTGCAAACCTGTGACTGCTGATGACTCCAGAGACCTCACCCAGAGAAACACACCAGTGGAACAGAGTAGTGAGCACAGCAGACTGCAGTGGCTGGTGAATTATTCAGGTTCAGATGTTCCCCCAGGAGAGGGTGACCAGCCAGTAACCATCTTGGAGTGGGCCCAACTGAGCTCGGAACTTGGCAGCTTCAGCCTGGCTCTGTCAGGGTGAGCGACAACCAAGTTGAAGTCAGAAGGAGGTCAAGGACCCAAGTTCAAGCCAGCATGAGGCACATGGAGTGTTGCAGGCTGAATAAAACAGGCTCCAGCCACCCATCCAATAGCCAGCCCGAGCTTCAGAACTAAAGGTACAAAGTTGCTGGGATTATCCATTACCCTGCCATAATCTATGGCTGGCTTCTTGGGATTAATCAACATGAATCTGGTCTCTGTCTGCCCACTTTGCCCACTTTATCTAGCAGTGATAGCAGAGACATGCCTTCAAGTAGATTTTTTTTTCTTTTCTTGTTTTTGTTCTATTTCTTTTTTCTTGATTGTTCTTGTTTTTATATGTGTGAACGATGTTTCCAGTTTTTTGTTTTTTGAGTTTTTTTTGGTACTGAAGATTGAACTTGGGACCTTGTGCTTGTGAGGCAGCTGGTGGTACCACTGAGCTAAATTCCCAGCCCACTGTTTCTAGTTTGTTCTTGTTCTGTTCATGTTATTTCTTCCTTTTTTAAAAAAAATTCTTCCTTCTTTCTCACCTGTCTTCTTCACCAGTTTCCCAAAGTTTGTATAATCTTCCTTTGTCCTCTAGCTTTGCTTCTAATCCCTTCTTCCATTTCTGTTTTTTTTTTTTTTTTTTTTTT